TTTCTTCACCTGAAGCTGTATTCTACTAAAAATATAGGGTAAAAGAAGTCATTCTAGGAAAATTGTTTCTTAGTTCTCACATTTTGCTTTCTTTAATGTGCTACACATACTTATTTCAAGTGCATTAGTGTTTATAAAGCAAACATTAGCTCTTCTACATAGTAAGCATCATGGGAAATGTGTCCAGGATTCCAACACCTATAGCTCAGTGCAGTGCTTGGCACTTGTGTAAGGCAGTGGCCAGTAGGAGACTTGTGAAATGCCAGAAATACAAAATGTAGGGAAGATCTCACACCCCAGGTCACACAGTCAAGCTCATCCACACAATGGTAGGCCACACTACAGTGGGTACCCAGGGTCCTCCCTGATTTAACCCTACCCCAGGCCCTGCAGCAGAAAGTCCCAACACACTAAAACAACTGTTAGTGAATAGCACAGTCCACATGCACACTCAGGGCCAAGGCTAAACTCAACAAAGTTGGCTGCTCTCTGCCCTGAAAGTCCTGGCAGGAAAGCCCACAGCAGAATCCAAACACGTTGCCACCCAAAGCACAGACCCACAGGCAATAAATAAGGGAACACAGGAATGAGTGCTCCACAAGACATAGAAGAGAGGACTGTGCTTCCATTGCCTCACCCTGTTTCCACACAATCCCACTGCAATCCCTAGGATGAGAGGGGCCAGCACATGTGTTGCTGCCCACCTTCCTCCCCATTTCTAGTCTCCCACATCGTTCTCCTCAGGAAGTCAGAAGAGGAAGCCTGACATCAGTGTGAGGACACTCCTCAGTCTTCTTCAAGAATCATCTGTTCTCTAAAGGAACTCCCATCATGGAAAACAAATTCAAACACCTTGTTCTTTCATCTGGACTCTGGGACACAGGCCAATCCTACACCACAGCCTTCTTCTCCTTCTTCTTTGGTCAATGCCCGTACACCTACTAGATTTGCAAGTGGAGGCCCTGGTCTGTGGATCCTTTATACACTGCCTCACAGTCCACTTACTTAGGTAATTAATACAGAGTGACTTTTGTTTCAGCATCTATACTGTAGAAGAAGAAATATGAAGGAAGAGAGAGGGTGAAAGAATTCTCTATATATTTAGGTATTTTTCATTAGGGGAGGATAAAAGTAAAAACTATAGGACAATTTCAATAAATTACTAGTGTTTMAGAACAGGGAAGAGTGAATGTAGAAGAAAAGGCAATAAATGGCATRAATTCCCACAACAAGCTGAGTGAGAAACTAGATGTGCTGTTTCTCAATGCTCCTGTGAAAGAGTGGACTTTGCCCATGTGGAGGAGAGAAAACTGAGGCTACAAGGTTGTAAGCCACTTGTAAGAGACCATACAGCCAACTTGTTCCTTGAGGTCTATCAGATGTAAAATCTTTGTACTAAATGTTGCAAGTTGGAGAAATATTGAGAAAAACTTACTGTGTAGTAATCATACCAGCGGGCCTCGGGGAAATAGGCATTCACATTTCTGGCATTCTAAAATTAAACACAAACAAGCTGTGAGCATGAGGCGCTGTTCTCAAGACCTATGAA